TGCTTTAAAGCGGGAGAAACGGAGGTTTCCCAGTAACGGCTGTACACAAAGCAGCGCTGAGCTCACAAATGCTGCTTTATCAGGCATATCACATGCAAGATGAAATGAAAATGACATCGAAAATTTTATTAAAATTTTTTTATTAAATTTTATAAATACAGTAATATAAAAAAACACCCACACCTCGTTTTGATTTTTAAATGTGCAGTACGTGCTCATGTTTATTGAGCACGTACTGAATGAACAGTTGATTCCCAGTTCATTCAGCTTAGCCTCAAACTGGCACTTTGTAGCTATGATAGATCATTTTTCATATTTCTATTGATTTTTATTTTTATATCAAATTAACATGAGTTAAAGGGGCATTCAATTGTTGTGTAGCTAGCATTTTCTGTTCTTTATGTACTTAAAGGGGTCCTATTATGCTTTTTCACTTTTTCAACTTTAGTTAGTTTAGTTAGTCAACTTTAGTTTTATGTTGCTGTTTGAGCATAAAAAAGATCTGCAAAGTTCAAAGTCCACTTCAAAAGGAGATATTTTATTTAACAGAAATCACTTTTCAAAAACTACAACGAACGACTCGTTTGGACTACAATGTATATTTTCCGGAATTTGTAATATCACAAATATCGACGAATGGGACGAGACCTGGTTGAGCTGCACTAGAGAAGGCAATGAGTGTTATCACTATGTCGGAGACACGCTAGCTTTCCCAAGGCAGACGAACTTAGTGGTTACAATCATCCGGGTTTAAACCACGCTCAAATTGATTTGATATTAACGCAATACTTACACTGAAGCTTGCAGGCGGCTATGGTAAGGGGGCGTGACATTTCCCGACCAGGCGCCGAGTGCTGCCAATCACAACACATTTCATATTTCAGAAGGAGGGCCTTTATTTGATACAGGAACTATTCAAGCCGTTCATGCCAGACTGGGGAGAGAGGTGTTGTAATAATGTAAAATATGTTAAAATAATGTGTTTTTCGAACAACCTAGAATGAGAACCATTTTAGTACACCCCCAAAACAAAATCAAGACTTTGTAAAAGAGCATAATAGGACCCCTTTAAAGTATCAATACCACAATGATGTTAGACCCTGCACTGCCACCTATCAACTCTCGGAGTATTATGTTAATTACTAGTTAATTAATAGTGAGTTTTAGAGATAAATCTACAGACTAACTCCCTTAAATAATTCCCCTGCAAAAATGACGCTATCATCAAATTGTTCCACCTTACCGATATTGTACCGATGTTTACACTTAATATTTGTTTTTCTCTCTTTCCATCTTTTGGTTTCAAATCTTTTCTTCTGCTTCAGGTACTAATTCTCCCATTGTTTCCACTGGAAAAGTGTGTTAAGTATATTTCATTGTCTAATTCTCACTCTTTGTATCACCAAACAACACTACTCTACTAGCACCATATATTATTAAAACACTTTTTATAAAAGCTATTATGAGCACAGTCTTCATCTCATGTGGGTATACACCATTCAGGTGACTCTTAACAAAACACAATTTGTTCACGTGTTACACTTTTTAGCACCAAACTACTGAATTCATCTTAAAGTGTGGAAGATTTTATGCAATATAGAATCTACTGTCAGACACTACAGCATACATTCTGGACATGTATAATATGTCATGTATTCACATGAGTGCAGCATAGAGATAGTATATTTTGAATGAATTTGCTAATACAACTTAACGAGATCCTGAGTTTTTCTTGGGGGGATTGATATGCGTGTAAGGTATGGCTCACCATATTGGCCACACTTCACTTCACTTCAAAAGTGCCTGTTCTCTGTGCTTTGCTCAAATCAAACAAGAATTGTTTTATCGGATTTAATTACATTTCAAAAGGTCAGAATCAACATAGTTTTTTTTTGTATGCGTGTCTTAAAGGGATAGCTCAGTTAAAATATGAAAATTATCGTCATTTACTCACCCTCATGTCTTTCCAAACCTGTATTACAGATACAAGTGTGTTCAGTGTGTATGGAAAAGGTGAATGTAAAAACAAGGCAAGTAAATGGCACAATTAATCCAATAGCAGCCAATATATAGGCCTATCCAATATTTACTGATTAAAAGGGGGGGGGGGGAATCAGGTGTAATAGAAAATATAGTACCTGTATATTGTG